CAGACAGACAGACAGACAGATAGATAGATAGATAGATAGATAGATAGATAGAATGCACTCAAAAACAAACTGGAAAGATTATTTTTCTGATATGAAAACACTTTGTGCCTGAGCAAACTTCAGAACAGATGGTCTCAGATGACTTATTATGATTTAAAATACTTTTTAGTGACTAAAAATAATAAAATTAGCAATAAAACAACTAAGAAACAAGATATTCAACATATATATATATATATATAACAACTGTTTGTTTTCTGTATGGAGCTCATGCAGGTGCAGTAAGAGCAGAGCTGAGCGAGGAGGAGGATATTTTACCGATGGGTTTGGGCACAGCCATGGCCTGAGTGCAGTCGAAGGGCAGGTTACTGAGAGACCAGATGACGGGATGAACCTTCTGCATGATGTTTAGAGAGATGGCCACGATACTGCACGTGTCCTGACGCACTGCCACACGCCTGAACATAACAAACACCACATCTGACTATCAGCAGGTGGACAGACGCCTCAATGCCACACACAGTGTGTGATGCTAAAGACTGAATTCATATGAGTGGATATGTAATGAAGTGCTGATAATCAGATGAGCAGTCGTACCCTGGCCACGTCTGATTGGGCTCAAACAGAATAAGCAGTGTGGGTTCATAGTAACCGTGGAGAAACTTCATATCAATGATGTTTAGGAGCTTCTCATCCAGTTCACGAACATCAATGATGTAACTGGGGAGGAAACTAGATTTCTGCCTAAAAGAGAAGAAATATTTTGATTGAGACCTTGCTGTAAACTTTGGGAATTAATGCTTTTATTCAGCAAGGACACATTGAATACATAAAAAAGCGACAGTACATACAACTAAAATGCTATTCTTTTGAACTTTCTTCAACATTGATAATAATAATAAATGTTATAAATGTTAGCATATTATACTGATTTCTGAAGGATCTTGTGACACTGAAGACTGGAGTAATGATGCTGAAAATTCAACTTTGATCACAGGAATAAATTACATTTTACAATATATTCACATAGAAAACAGTTATTTTAAATTGCAATAATATTTCACAATATTACTATTGCTAGCTACTATATTTTTGATTAAATAAATGCGACAAAAACATTAAAAATAAACAGTAAAACATTACAAAACTTTTTTTTAAATCGTACAAAAGCATTAAAAATATCTTACCAACCCCAAGCTTTTCAAATGCCTGCAAAAAAGCAGAAAATATTTGCTCATACCCTTCTCCCACAATGCCTTCTTGTTCATCGGTCAGCGTGTCCTTCCTGAAGGGCAGAACCACCAGACACGTGCCGTACACCAGCATGACAGCGCAGCGGTTCTCTGGGTCCACACGCACCATGGGGATGTGCACATTCTGAACAAACCCTTCCTGAAAACATCCAAACACACAGCACACAGCCATCACAACACACCCTTCACAGATCAGCAGCTCAACACATGCTCATAAACACAGTACACACTCTCAGCTCCGGCTCCTCGAAATAGTGCAGCGACAGCGTCTTGAGATCATGCGTGCCTGGATCATACTCCACAACTGAGAGCTGGAAGAAAAAACACACCACCATTAGACTGCCTTATCATTCAGACAATCTTCAAAGCTTTTCTTTCGCAGGAAGTAGCTGTGATGCAGTCACACATACCTTGGCATCTTTGAAGCTGAGGAGCAAGGCGTCTCTGTTGGTGCCCGCGAGCTGAACGCTGGCCATGGACATCACATTTCCAAAGAGAGAGAAGGACGCCACCTGCTCCAGCTTCTCTTTACGGCTCTTGCCATCTACACAGTTAGATTAATAGTAAACATAATAATAATCTACAGGATACTTGACTACAGACAAAAAAATGAAAAGTCTTACCTGATGACTTTTCTGATTTGGAAGTGCTCTAGAACGCAATAAGGGCAAATTATTAATGTTTGTATTAATGACCCATAAAGCAAAGTGAACCAAACCAAGTGGCATTTATTCTAAAAAATATAAAGATAGCATAATGATATAAAGATATTTATATAAAGATACAGCTAATAAAAACACACTTCTCAAGCACATTTCACAACCAAAGTTTGTAAGCTTTAAAATGATAGAAAAAATAAGAAAACAATAAATAAGTATTACATATAGTACTGTACAAAAGTATTAGGCCTTTTTACACGCGTGTGTGTGTACACCTGTGGTTTCTTAGCTATGACATCTGTGTGAATTGACTTCAAACATCTGCATCCAGGACAACCCTCTACATTGCGAGGAAATCACTCACATATGCGACTAAATCTTCACTCTGGGCGACTAAATGATGTCTAATATTAGCCACATATTCTTTGTTGTATTTTCCTGTCAAAATAATGGATTTCCTTTGGAATTCTTCAGCTTTTAAGAACTGCCGGGTTTTCCGGTAGTGGGCGGAGCTAATGCGCAAACGACAATCTCAATTGGCTGGCGCTCACCTATTATCGTCCCTGTTTTGATTTCAGCGAATCAGTTCCAGCGAACACACACAACCTGATTAATATTCATGAAGCCAGCAGCAAGGCCTGTCGCAATAATCAATATATCGACTTATCGCGCAATATATGTATAATGGCGATTCAATTGCCAAGCTGTCTGTAGAGGGTTGATGACAGCTGTTGCGTCTCATTTAATTGAACAGAGACAGAAAGCCCCCCCACCTCACCTCCACATCATAGATGATCCTGTAGACATACAGCTGAGAGGTTGCTGCCACCACCAGGTTCTTCTCTTGGCTGGAGATGAAGTTGCAGTACACGGCGAACTCCACAGCAGTGGGCGGATGAGCCTGACGGTACACCGCGTACATGATGAAGATGAAGAAGAAGAAGAGCAGCTGCCCTCAGCACCTAACCAATCAAACCCAGAGTGAGGACCAGTTTACACTCTGACTGAGCCACAAACCATGACAAGCTAAACACACACATCTGCGGACTTATGCTTGTGATTTACTGATTTGCACGCAGATTTGAGCGTTTTGTTGATATGCATCTCCCGCTAATATGCTAGCGAGCTGTGCGTGACCATAGAAACATCATTTGCAGATACGCAAAATAAACTCTAACATACCAGCGAGTTATTGTGCAAGCTTCCAAATGAGCCCTATGACCAGTTGGTCTCAAAAATATATGTATTTACAGACGAACTCAGCACACTGGACAACACCTCCTCATTCATCACACATCCCAGAATGACCCGCGCCAGCAGCAGCAGCAGCGCAGCGCCGAAATGCGTCCGACCTGCGCAATGAGCGCGTGACACCAGTTCCCTTTTCTCTGATCCGATCACTTCTGTTATATATATATGTGAACATATAGATGTCAAGTCAAGTCAAGTTTATTTGTACAGCGCTTTTCACGATACAAATCATTGCAAAGCAACTTTACAGCAAATTAAGTTTCTACAATATTTAGTGGTAGCTTATCAGTGGTGACTGTCAGTTAATGTACATATGGCAGAAATGTACGGAAAAATCAATTAAAGACGTAATCAAACAGACGATGAACACTATTAACAGCAATTATTATATGATGCAATCAAACTTATAGCAAAATGTGGTAGTTCTGTACGTTGTTTCAGGGTTGGCATCATCTGAGGTCCTCTGAGGGGTTGGCATCATCTCTTCTCAGGTGATCTGGATCCAGACTGAAGCTTGTGTAAATCCTAGTTACCACGGGATGTCAATCCCAGCAGAAACAGAGAAACAAAAAAAAAAGATTTTGTGAATTTAGTATTTTCCATGTAATTACATTGTTTAGAGCATAAGAAAAAACTGGAAAAATAACATTTTTTAAAAATAATATTTTATTCATGTTATGCTAGGTCCGCTGACTGTAGAGGACACCAGGACTTTAAAAAAATAGACATGAATAGACATGAAAAAGCAAACACAGTGGGATTTTTATTTTTTATCACCTATCAATTTTTATACCAAACTTTGTATAAAGATGATTCTCTACTATGTTATGAAAGATATAACAGAATGATTTGATATACTATTTTGCTTTATGCAATATGTGCGTAAAATGGCCATAAACGGTTTTCCCATTTTATACAATGTATCTACATACTAGTGATCCGCGGATGAGCTAAAACGTCACCCGAATCCGCAGCTTCAAATAAATT